TCATCCCTACATTGGCTTCCATTTTTACAATTGAAAAAAATTAGATGGCGAAATGGGGAGATAATTTTGACGAAGTAGAATCCTGACTGTCACGATCATTTATGAATGTACCAACGAGTGAATTTAGTACAATTAAAAAATCTTTAGAAACGCGATGAATTAAATGAGATTGTGAGTGTTTAGGAGAATTCATTAATTATTCATATGTTAAGCAATGCAGTAATTCGAAACATAAGCTAAGACCTGAAAATGTAAATTTTACAGAAGAATTCACTATAAACAAATGTCACCTGTCAGGCTTACTAAAGGGTACTCCACATAATAAAACTGACAAATGACAATATGCGGTAGTTCTAACCCGTGGTATTTCCAGTGTGCTACTGTATCTAAAAAGTTAAATTACAAAAATACCGAACTCAAAGGAAAATTCAAAACGGAAAGTCCCTTATCAAATGGCAAAATCAAAAACTCGAACACATATAACGAAGGGAAAACAAATGTCATATTCTTGACTTGGTACAGGCATTTCCTTATGTAGAAAATGGTGGATTAAACCTGGTTTTATAGCTAGCTAAACCTTCCACTTGTATGACAGTCGCATAAAATTCCATTGTATTGACAACACTGTGTGAGCAAAACAAATAGTCATAATAGGTAAATAAACAAGTCAAAAATTGGTGTACATCAGTCAACATTGTGTTAAATCACTATAAAAACAAACAACTATGTCAACAAAGTAAAATAAAATAGCATATAGATATTCAGTCTCTACAGACAAAGCACATAAGCAATAATGAAAGACAAGATTACAAAAATGACCATAGCATAATAACACAATGGCGGGATGTATAAATAACGAGCCACGCCAAAAGGATATTACCAAAAAATGGACTAAACAGTAAAGGTTAAATATATACAAAGACAAATATAACACGTAATTAAGATGATAATCAATGTCAGAACCTAAAATTTATACTTTAAGACCATCATGCATAATTTGTGAAGTTGATATGGAATATTTATCAACAAGGTCTTGGTATCTTTCGATGAATTTTTTTTCGGAAAAAGGACGAGACGTTCTTTGACATAACCCTGGTTCAACAACTTTCAGCTCAGGCAATGGTGATGTTTAATAAAATTTGAGTAGCAGCTCTTGAATACCAAATGAGTATATTTAGTGTATTTAATTTGAAGCAAATTATGTAAATATAAAGCAGTCGAATTATTTAAGATTTCGGAAGTCTAAAGTGCCATTGTCATGATGCGTATCACTTGTAGGGTTGGAATCTTTGTGTTCTCAAGACGAGTTTTAGAGGATGATAAATAGTCATCATAGACGAATCTTTATGCTCTTTCTTGTATTTTAGCTTTTATAGAATTTTTCTTTTGTACAAAAATGCCAGTCCAAAGGTCAAATATTAAAATTACTCAAAAATGAAGGTATGGAAAATTGTAAGTTTGTGAAATCTAGTTCGATAGGATCCAATTGTCTTGAGAACTTTCTGCTGTTGTGATGCCTTTCCACATAAGTTACTTCTATGTGCATCAAATCGAAGTTGGTAATCAATATAAATTCGAAGAAACATGACGGTTTCTTTACATGATAAAATATTTTGTTGAATTTAGATTGACGGATTTTTTTGTAAATTGTTCATTACAGCAATACCCTGAAATTTACCAGAAATTGCCTGCATCTTATTTTGTTTGAACCACTCAATCAGCACTTGAGACTCACATTGTAATGTAGATATGAGACGGTCATGATCATGTCTGCTGAAAGACAGGGTATTGTCTTCATCATACATGTACAAGATACTCTGTTTAACAAACAAAAAAAAAATCATTTATGAAGAAATCAAACAAAATATAGAGCATTGGGAGCATTGGGATACCTCCTTTTGGAAGGCAGCCCAGCAAGTCAGAACACTGTTTACTTTGATTTGCTGATTATAACAAAGATACTGAATGTGGGAAAACACCATAATTTATGCTAATAATTTATCCAAAAATATCATGTGGTTAGCAGTCGAAAGCTTTATTTGATACATTGTAAATCCACGAAACTGCAACTGTATACGAATTTTTGTCTTGGGCTTTACGCCAGGCTTGCAGTAATCTGAGTAACGTAATCTGATATCCATTTTCTTTAAGCACAAAGATAAGGATTGAAAATGTCATATAACTGGATTTCAGATACCTCTTCGAAAAACTTAGAAAAAAATAGGTAAAACACTGACTGGTCTGTAATTTGATTTAAGTAATGGGTCGTTCTTTTCACGTAAGGGTGTAACTTAGGCTTCTTTAAGTCTGTCTTGAAATATGTCCGTGTGTACATCAAGCTTATTAGACTGGCCAGTTGAGGTGCAACTATAGATCTACTATATTTTACTATTTTTTTGCAGGTATACAATCTGCTCCCGTTGCTTTTTTTTTTACATTACTTTATTTATGATTTTTACCAATTTTTCTGGTGTCATCTTTTGGAATTAAAATTTTGTATTCATTTTCAAGTGACTTTTTTTTTCATGTATGACATTTATACCTTGGTGGTTTGATATATCATATAACACATCAGCAACAGTAGTGAACAACCTATTAACGACACCTGATACTTCTTTTTGATCATTAATAATTTCATGTTCTTCAGGAAAATAGTTTTTTTTGGAAAATTTAGAGTTTTAAAACAGGATGATTATGTGTACATCAGAATGACGTCAACTAGATAAAGGATCTACAATCTTTTTTAAAACAAGTTTGATATTTTTCTTATTCATCAAAATTAAAAATATTACAGATATCACTTAAAAGTTGAGATTTGTCAGAAATTAACATATCAAAATTTAAATCACCAAGCCAGTATAATTATCATATTTTACAGTAATTCTATCTGAGTTTGTTGAAAAAAACATTTTGAAAACTATTTCCAGGCACTGAAGCACAGGCACTTGTTTCTGTCAATGGGGGGTTTGCTATCCTCACTTGTACGAAAAATCACAAGGTAGCTAACGAAAATTTTCTATGTGTTCGGTTCAACCGATATTTTTTAACATTCCCTTGCATTTCTCACGAATAAACACACATCAGTCTGCCGTTTACTGATTTATCTTTACAATAAAACATGTTTCACGTACCTTGAGAATACCCCTCTAACAGAATAACACACTTGTGACGATAATTATTGACCTTTTTCCAGATCATTGAATTTCTAATTCCTCGACTTCTGGTAAACTTTTATTTTGTAGGAAGTTAATATAACTGCAATCTGATTGGTCAAATTTTTCTGGTTACCTTTTTTCTTTTACTAGTTACAAGATCAAAAACCAAAGTGAAAGTTGACATAAAAGACAGAAAGATAATCAAGGGTTTAACAAATTTACAAAGTGAAGCCCTAAATAAGGCCCTAGAAGGACATTCTCTGTTAATATTAGGTCAGAGTGGTACTGCAAAAGCTTCCTGTAATAGTTATCCCATGAGGACTTGGTGTGTCAATGTAAGATCATCCCGATGGTCGGAAGCCAGAGGGTGATCTAACACTGACACACCAAGTCAGAATGGGATAACTATTTTACATCCCAGCTGTTCTAGATTAGATAAAAAACCATTTACGCTTCATAAAATCTAGTTTAGAACGCCACACAATCATTATTATACACTTTATATATTACTATATGGTATATACCCTTTATGAGCCCCGGACACAATGTTTAAGTATATTAAATTAACATTGGTTTGTATCCAGTCGTGCTGGTGTAGGGGTATGACTCGTGCCGTGCATTTATATGGTTAAGGTATTGAGTTCGATTCCAAGCATAGACACTGAATTTTTCAACATGAATTTTGATAGTTAGTCTTTTAAATATTTCTAAGTTTAAGTATTAATTTGACATTCCCGCCAAAATGTTATAGAACAAAGGAAAGCATGCAGAACAAAGAAACTCAAACTAGGGTGATCTGGTAGGGGTGATCCGGCTCAGATCATCCCTGGTAGAACAAAGGAGCTGGGATGTAAGTAATAGTTATCCCATGATGACGCGGTGTGTCAGTGTAAGATCACCCCGATGGCCGGAGGCTAGAGGGTGATCTAACACTGACACACCAAGTCCGAATGGGATAACTATTTTACATCCCAGCTGTTTTAGATTAGACGAAAAATATTTACAATTCATAAAATCTAGTTTATTATTATAATATACGTTATATATTACTATATAATATATACCCTCTATGACCCCCGAACACGATGTTTAAACATGAAACCATGTCAACTCGCCCCAATGGCCAATCGGCCTACACTAAATCGCCACTTTCTAAAATATCGACCCACTCTTGTTTACCAACTCGCCCCACTTATGAAAAAGGGTAAAATCCCATTGAACAATCAGTCTGACAACTCGCCTTATTTATGAAAAGGGTTAAAATCACACTGAATAAAGGTCTGCCAACTCGCCCCACTTATGAAAATATCTTGCTTCCTTTAAATATGTTAAATTACTGAGAGTTGGTATCCAGTCGTCCTGGTGTAGGGGTATGTGTCGTGGGTTGATATGCTAAAGGTCTTGAGTTCAAATCCCAGCATAGATAATGGATTTTTTTCTACATAAATTTTGAAAGTGTGTCTTTTCTCAATAAATAATTCTAAGTTTTATTGTGGATAAGGCATTCCCGCCAAAATGTTTCAAAACAAAGGAAAGCATGCAAAACAAAGAAACTCAAGCTGGGGTGATCTGGTAGGGATGATCCGGCTCAGATCACCTCTGGCAGAACAAAGGAGCTGGGATGTAAATTAAAAGAATCAGTCAAAACATTGTTGAAAACAGGCAAATCAGTTAAAAAAACAGCTTCGACAGGAATTGCATCATTAAATATTGACGGGAAAACAATTCATTCCTGACAAGGAATTGGCGACGGTCGATACTCAAATGGAGTTCTTTAAGAAAAAATAGAAAAAAAAGAAGCAAAATATACTTAATACAGATGCATTGTTTATTGATGAGTTATCAATGTTGTCCAAAAAACTGTTTGAACAGCTAGAGTTCATTTGCAGAAAAACAAGAAATTCCAACCTAATGTTTGGGGGTATTCAAATTATAGCTGTTGGTGATTCCTGACAACTCCCTTCAGTACCTGACAACCTAAAAGTTGATGCAGGAGAGTACTGTTTTAAGTCTGAAATATGTGTTCAATTATTTCAGCACAAATTTGTGCTTCAACGAGTTATACGTCAAAATCAGGCAGACTTTATATATGCTATTAATAATATTTCAAGAGGTGGCCTACCAGAAGATACTAAAAACTTACTAACGAACCTCTCTTAAATAACCACACGGTGAAGATCCTATAAGATTATGCTTAAGAAATTTTGACTGACATTCACAATTCATGTAAACTGATAGATATGGAAGGTGGTGTATCAGTATTCACATCAATTGATGAGGTAGAAAATTCAAAATTGTTGCATCACTGCAGCAATTTCCATTGTGTCTTGCATTTTCAATAACTATTCATAAGTCACAAGGTCTCACTCTTGATCGTGTTGAAGTAGATGCAAGTTATATCTTTGTTGCAGGGCACTAAGGAGTAGCAGTATGAAGGGGGAAAAGAAAAAAAAGGACTTAAATTTCAGGTTTTAATCCGAAATCTGTCATGCGTTACGATGAAAGTTTATATAAATTTTATTCAGAAAATTCAAATAAAGTTTATGAAAGTCAATTGTCCTGCTGTAAAAAGAATTTTGAAGTACCACTTAATGATAATGCTTTGAATGTTACAGAACAGGAAAGGGTTTTTGATGATTTATCAGATTATAGTGATGAAGAAATTGAAGAGATTGATTTCTTGTTGTCAGATGATTTGGAAATGTGTGATCCGTCTGAGACATCTCATGTAAATGTAGAAACTAAAAATGACATAATAGACTTAGATGAAATTAGTGAATTATTCTCAAGACAGAAAGTTTCGACCACAAAAGTTCGTCTTCTTACCTTTTGCTTTCAAAAGATAATGTTCAACAGTTTGTTGTATTCCAAAATTGGAAGTTTATGTAAAACAACTTGTGGTGATCTGTCAAATAAATACACTGACTCAAAGACATGGACAAACTTTTACTCAGAACTTTATTCACATTCCACCTGTAACGATTATATTATTCTTGTAAAATCTTTATTCAAATCTGAACCAACTGAAGTGGATTTTGAAATATGTTCAAAAATATTTGACTATATTAAGTCTTAAGTTTTGAAAAACCAATGGATCTCCTAGTGAAAAAAAAAACATGACACCAAAAGTGCGTCAAAGATAAGTCTCTCTGATGGGGGGAAAGGCAAATAAGATATATTGTTGGCCGATGTGTAGCAAAATGTTGGTTTCACCATATGAGTCATGCAAAAAATAATTTGTATAAAAAGGATAAAATCAAAAGTGTTGCTAAGTCCTTTTTGAAGGTAGAAATGATGGATCATTTGACAAAAAAGTTCTGATTTGGAAAATAATTCTAAATACAAAAGTACACTTTATGAGACAAAAAGAAAACAGAACCTTTCTCAGGGGTTAACAACTATATGTGACTCTATGTTTGAATTCATCTTAGCTGTAGAGGAAAAAAGGAAACGTGTTCAACATGATAAGGTTTTTCATTTACTTGGTTCAAGATTTTTGAATATTGTCACTCTTCAATTCTACAAGACTCAAATTTGTTCACCTCATGGAGAAATTTATTTGCTAATTTTGAAAATTTTAATACCAGTAGTTATTTGCCAAATATCAGGAATCATCAGAGAGCTGTTTAAGAGAACTTTATAATGATATTATTGAAAGGTTTTGTAGAATTGCAGACAACCAATTTAGGAAAGACTTCCTAGTGAGTTATTGCAAACAGAAGACAGAACGATTAAAGAAAAGGGTCGATTCTAAAACTAATTCTTCATCAGGTCTTAAAATAAAATGTTTAAATGAAGACAAATCAAAATCTAAAATAAGCTCTCATTATAAATTACAAGCAGTTATAATTGACCATGTTGCAGCTTGTCTAAGCGATTTTTCTAAAATGACATGATTAAATATATGCAAAACATATGGAATTAAAATGCAATTTAATACCAAGAAAAGTTTTATTAAAGATAAACTCTGTGAATGAATACCCTCACAAACTTCTATAGTTTTCCCAGAGCATTTGGAAAAAAAGTGACCAAAAACATGTTACAACTAAGCCTCTAAACACTGACCAGCATTCTACCTCAGGAGTTCAATATTCTAAAACTAATATACTAACAACACCATGCACCACCAAAAGTAAGAAGGAAGCTAAATTCTACCTTTTCGAGCAAGAAGAAGAAATCTAAGAAATTCGTCACACAGGAGGACTCATTGACTAAATGTCCAATATATAATATTATTAATCAGGATAGAGAGGAGTGGATTGGATGGGATTTGTGTGATGCATGGTACAACAGACAGTGTTCCCAAATAAGTGATGAATTGTGGGAAAAGATCGGCGACAGTGATTGGTATTGTCCAAAATGTTTACAGTAATAAGGTGAGTTATAGATTAATATGCCTTTTCTTATCTTCGGTTGAAAAAATGTTCTTTATTTTATATCAAAAACAGAGTTATCCCCCATTTTGCTGTAAACATTCCTTATAAGGGTTTTACCTTTAATGTATAATAGTATGTTTTTTCATTAAGAGATCATTTCTCAAATGATGCAATTCTTAAGGAAATAATATGTAAAGTTATAATATTCATTGTATTATACGAACTATGCAAAAATAAACGTATGGGGTTGGGAGTGGTTGTTACTCATGTATCAGGGAAGGGAATTTTGTTGTTGTTATATTTGATATATTTGGTTTTTTTTTTATAGTGATTAAGATTATAACACGATGTTGACTGTTGTGTCCCTATTTTTGACATTTTTACCTATAATGTCTGTTTGTTTTGTTCACACATTGTTGTCAATATAATGGAATTTTATGCGACTGTCATACAAGTGAAAGGTTTAGCTAGCTATAAAACCAGGTTTAATCCACCATTTTCTATATAAAGAAATGCCTGTACCGAGTCAGGAATTTGACAATTGTTTTCCATTCGTTTGATGTGTTTGAGCTTTTGATTTTGCCATTTGATAAGGGACTTTCCGATTTGAATTTTCCTTGGAGTTCGGTATTTTTGTGATTTTACTTTTTTCCAATACAAGTCAATATACCAGGCTATTTTAAGACTTGGAAATTTTTTAATTATGGAATTTTGTAGAATTACCTGTGTCTGCCAGTTATCTTTATTATAATGTTATGAGCTGTGCACAACACTTTTCATACAACAGAGGTAGCACATTTTCAATAGAATGATCTGTGAAGCGCACAACACTTTCCATACAAAATACATTGTATGGAAAATGTGGTGCGCTGCACAGGTCATTATAATACAGACGAAATAGACTTAAAGCAATCTATTACAATTTATCAAAAATTTCAAGCACAGGTAATTATGCAAAATTCCAAAATTAAAAATAATACCAAGTTTAAATAATAGCCTGTTATATTTCTTCTCCCGCCCCCCCCCCCCCCCCCCCCAAAAAAAACGGTTAAAAAACAGGTTTTGTCAACACCATTTAGTTTCAATAATTGAAATTTATTTACATACATGTCTATTGATTTTAATGTTTATACTATTTCTGGAAATGCATTTTGTTTTTGGAGTAGGTCCAAGAGCAAATGGTTGCGCTTTAACCCACTAGTATTCGACTTTCTAGATGTTGTTGCCTGTCCTAAAATAATGCTGTTGATTCCAGTCCCATATTCATTATGATTAGGGTTTGTGTTTTCTCCATGGTATAGGGAACGCTCTTGACAAAATATGTTTTCAACAATATCACTGTTAATTCTTGCTGTAGTTAATTCACTTTTTAGTTCAGTAATCATATTTGTAAGGGACATAAAGCCAAGATATAGGAATTCTAGGTCCTCTCTAGTTTTCATTGTCATTAAGGTTTATACCTCTTATGTTTGTCGTCAGAACTCCTACAATCGACTTTTCCCATGCTTTAAACCAATTATAAGCTTCAGGAAATAATCTCAACCTTTCGTCATGTATGTCTTTCACAGGTCTAAAATCCTTGAAGAAAGAGACTAGAAAACTTTTGTGTTTTAAAAAACTGAAGGACACCTTTCATTTCCTCCTGACATGCAGCATTCATACTATTTGTGTATTGTTGCATAGGATTGAACATTTCAGAATCTAAGACGTCAAATGCTAATTTGTTGCGCATTTTTTGTGCATTGCTTGGAAAAATGTGGTCCTCAGACAATTTGTGATGCATGTGAAAAATGTTTGTAGTGCGGTCCCAGTTGTAGGCATCAATCCACATTTTCCTAATCATTACAGAATCATTTACGGTAAGTAAACGTTGATGTGATTCCAAAAAGCCACTGCTTAAAATGCTGTTTCTAATTTTCTTCAAAAGATGACAGGGGTCCGTAAAAACAACTATTTTCTACCTGGATTTTTGAAACATTTAGCAATCATATTGGTACAAAGTTATTACTATCAGAAAAATGCATTTTGAAAAACGCACGGTTGTTTGCTGAACCATTCATTCAACAGCAAATTGACATAAAGCCCCATCTGAACAATTCATCTATGTACCACCAAGTTGTAACAAATATTTCTGAAGGAGAAGCCTGGGTGTTTGGAAAATTAGAAAAAAGGCCATCTAAAACCTGTTAAACCATGAAAAACATATTGTTGCACATGGTTTGCAATATGGGATTGTAATATTCCGTCATTTAAAGCCTGTATCATTTTCACATCATTTCCACTATCTGATAATCCAAATAATGAAGAGCATTCTTTAGTATTGACGAGTTGAAGATCCTCTTGTATTGGCATTATGTCAAGAATTAGACCACCATAATACCCTTTATCTAATTTAATTTGTCTTTTACCCTCGTTTGACATCCATAGCATCATTTCAGGAATGATACCAGGTCCCTGATGGACAGCATTTTTGTAGATTTGTGCGGATGGCAAATGAACCCATATATTAAGAGTCATATCTCGGTATGCAGCAGGGTTTCTATTGAATAACACCAATGCCATACATATAATGTCTTTATCCCATCTAACACTCGTTTTACTCTTTGTGTTAGATGAAACTATTTGAGATAAGATTAATGTCAATTGATTGTCATGCAAATTTGGAGCAATGCTCTTGATAAACTGTAGAATTTCTTCTTTAGAAAGCTTAGAATTATTACACATGTTTTCTTTATTTTCACATTTTTGCAAAGTTTGCTTCCTATTTTGAAAAAAAATGAACATTTTTAACAGACAGATGACCTCATTGGTAGGAAGCGGGGACAACTATTACTACTGATTACATTCATTGACTGTTTGCCAATTTTGCAGACCTCTTTTGTGCAATTAAAGCTTGTGGCAAATTTTACATCATCATTTGTTTTGATTGCATATCCATGGCAATGGTTTATTAACCTAGTGCATCTAAATATGCCAGAAACAGAGTATATTGAGCTTTGTTTGGTATGAAATATTCTGATAAATTAATAATTATGCCAGCAATTGTGATGGAAATCTGACCAGTTTTTGACAATTGTAATTCCATGACAGTTTTATTCTCACTAAATGTCTCCTAAAAATGACAACAAAAATGATGCTGTCATCTAATTTGTTCAAGATGAACCAATCATTTGGTCCCCATTTGTCAATATTTTTAAATTCAACTTCTACTATATCACATGTTGAGCTTTCAACTGAACAATTAAAGCTTTGTGGAAACACCTGAGTTATCAAATGAATTTGGGATTTAATCTACTAAGTGGATTGATTTTTTTCATTTTCATGAACAGCTAAAGAAAAAATTGTTTCAATTGAGGTGTTACTGTTTGAGTCAATAACAACATGTTCAGCTAACCTGAAATTGAATGAAAGCATACTGAGCCATTTTACAATGTACCATGTAATCATAAATAATAAAACCTGACTGTCCTGTCGATATAGTTCCATTCTTATTTGTTAAATGTACAGATAAAGCTCTTGTAACGGCAATTATTCAAGGCCACAATTGTGACCTCAGGATGTTGTTTGGTGGTGGTATTTTATTTTTGGGAAATAGCTCCTACTAATTGTGGCATAATTCTAGTTTTGTTGTAATTTGAATGGAAAACACTACATGATGACCATTATAAAAATAGAAGTAGATATGGAACATTTGTAACTGAACTTGGGCCACAAACTGTTTATAAAACAAAAATAAAATACCACCACCAAACAACATCCTGATGTCACAATTGTAGCCTTAAATAATTGCCGTTACAAGAGCTTTATCTGTACATTTAACAAATAAGAATAAAACTATATCGACAGGTCAGTCAGGTTTTATTATATATGATTACATGGTACATTGTAAAATGGCTCAGTATGCTTTCATTCAATTTCAGGTTAGCTGAACATGTTGTTATTGACTCAAACAGTAACACATCAGTTGAAACAATTTTTTCTTTAGCTGTTCATGAAAATGAAAAAAATCAATCCACTTAGTAGATTAAATCCCAAACTCATTTGATAACTCAGGTGTTTCCACAAAGCTTTAATTGTTCAGTTGAAAGCTCAACATTTGATATAGTAGAAGTTGAATTTAAAGATATTGACAAATTGGGACCAAATGATTGGTTCATCTTGAACAAATTAGATGACAGCATCATATTTTTGTCATTTTTAGGAGACATTTAGTGAGAATAAAACTGTCATGGAATTACAATTGTCAAAAACTGGTCAGATTTCCATCACAATTGCTGGCATACTTATTAATTTATCAGAATATTTCATACCAAACAAAGCTCAATATACTCTGTTTCTGGCATATTTAGATGCACTAGGTTAATAAACCATTACCATGGATATGCAATCAAAACAAATGATGATGTAAAATTTGCCACAAGCTTTAATTGCACAAAAAAGTCTGCAAAATTGGCAAACAGTCAATGAATGTAATCAGTAGTAATAGTTGTACCCGATTCCTACCAATGAGGTCATCTGTCTGTTAAAAATGTTCATTTTTTTCAAAATAGGAAGCAAACTTTGCAAAAATGTGAAAATAAAGAAAACATGTGTAATAATTCTAAGCTTTCTAAAGAAGAAATTCTACAGTTTATCAAGAGCATTGCTCCAAATTTGCATGACAATCAATTGACATTAATCTTATCTCAAACAGTTTCATCTAACACAAAGAGTAAAACGATTGTTAGATGGGATAAAGACATTATATGTATGGCATTGGTGTTATTTAATAGAAACCCTACTGCATACCGAGATATGACTCTTAATATATTGGTTCATTTGCCATCCGCACAAATCTACAAAAATGCTGTCCATCAGGGACCTGGTATCATTCCTGAAATGATGCTATGGATGTCAAACGAGGGTAAAAGACAAATTAAATTAGATAAAGGGTATTATGGTGGTCTAATTCTTGAAGAAATGCCAATACAAGAGGATCTTCAACTCGTCAATACTA